CTTTTAATAACTTAATACATCAGACAAAATGTATTTCATAATTTTGCTTATTTAATCTAATATTACTTGATTTTTTAGATATAAATTATAAATTTGTAAATAATTGAATTTTTTTACGCGTAAACTATTTTTTGTAGAATAATTACATATCCATCATTTCCTGTAGAAAGAGGAATAACCATTACCACTGCACATTATTTATGTCTCGCAGAAGACCAATACTTGAATGATACAGTTATAGAATTTTATTTAAAGTATTTAACCTTAGAGGTATTGTCAGAATTTGATCAACGTAGGACTCATGTGTTCAGTTCATTTTTTTATCAGCGTTTGATTACACATTTCGGAGAAACCCAAAATACCATACCAATGACACTTGCCGCCGAGCGACACGCAAGAGTACAGAGATGGACGAGAGATGTTAATATATTTGAAAAAGATTTTGTTATAATTCCTATAAACAAAGAGTAAGTAAGCCTATTTAACATGTAAGTAAATTTAACATAAAGTCAATATAAGCTTAAGAGCGGTGTTATAAATGGTGTTTTATATGGGACGCTTTCTAATAAGAAACACATGATATGGTATAATACAGTGCATCATTATACATTGCACATTCTTATTGTTCGTCAATGTTAAACAAGGATGACACTATATTGTATTGAGTCGCTTGTTAGAAGGTACCCATGATGTTCAGTATTGGGTTCATTCAGGACAGTCTGGACCAAGGATCTTAAAAGTTGGAATCAATATTGAGATATTAGATAAAAAAATCCATTGAAGAGTTCAATTCTATAGATAAGAGAAAAAAGAAAAACATTGAAGTTTTATCGTACATACATCTGTATCTTGAAGTTTACCTCATATTAAATAGTTGTAATAAATGGGCCAATATCAATTTTTTATTAATTTTATTCTTTAAGTAATTCTATTGATTTTTCGTAATATAGGCATAAATTATATCATATTTTGTATAACAAATATAATATTATTTATAGTGAACACTGGTTCTTGGCTATTATTTGCTTTCCTGGATTAGTTGGAAAAGTTTCCAAACGTATTACAGAAATTAACAAAAATGATAGTCTCGTTAGTTTTTCTAATACGAGAGACTCTTCTAAGTCTGTACAAAAGAACAAAAAAATAAAAACATTAAAAAGAAAAGCTGTTGAACTTGAAGAGCAGAAAGAAATCAAGATGTAAGCAGCAGTTTATATCTATTTAATATATTTTATTATGATTTTTGTGTTTTTAATATTTAAATTAGATTTAATTTATAGTCCCTGCATATTAATATTCGATTCGCTCGGTGATACTAATTACTCATCGGTAATTGCTACATTAAGAGATTATTTAAGTTGCGAATATGTTGTCAAATTTGGTGTAGAAGAGACATTCTCGAAAGATACTATTAAAGGAGCGTATCCGAAAGTACCCAAGCAATCCAATTGTACTGATTGCGGATTGTATTTATTACAATATGTGGAAAGTTTTTTCAAGGCAAGTATATATTAAATTTTTAATATTTGATTGATCTTTAATATTGATTTTATTATTATGTTTATTATTATTATTTATTATTATGTTTTAATTTATATTATTCTAAATATCTGATTATGTATAATAAATGTGATGAGTTTATTTTTCTTTTCACAGGATCCTATTAAAGATTATACTTTGCCAATTAAAATCTTGGAAACATGGTTTGAAGAAATTATTATAACGAAAAAAAGGGAGGAATTATCAAATTTGATAATTAAATTAATGAATAACACCAAAGGAAATAAACCTATTAATTTGCCTACTATAACATTGCCGACACAAAATGGCAAATTGAAACGAGACGTAAAAAATCAGATGTAATTACTTTTGAACATAGTATGTAGCAACGCTATGTTTAAAACAAAATTTCTAATATATTTCTTATCACAAATATTGCTATAGATTACAGTACACTGAATTATTACACATAAAAAGAGGCTGCTTTTAAATATCTAGTGACAATAATATAAGCTTTGACAATGAAATTATATATACACATACATGTTCTGTTAAATAACGTAACAGTGTCATTTAAAATTAAATTGTTTAAAATATTTATATACTTTTATATTTAATTTTTATATTTAATATGCATTAATCTAGTGTAATGCAAGTTAAATTTGCTAATAGATTATTACTTGGTCTTCGTTTCTGAAAGTCGATTGTATATCTCGAAACGAAGTGAAAATTACAAAAAAATGAGCAAATTTATTAAATGTTGACTAAAAAAAAAGTAAGCAATTTTATTAAATGTTGACTAATAAAAATGTTATAAATGTTCTAGTAAATTCGCTCACGTTTATAATTTTCACCTCTATTCAAGATACACAATCGAGTTTCTTCGTAAGGTACGCTTTTGCCGCACTGTAAAAATTGGATCGCATTCAAATTTTCCCGCGTGATGGAAGATACGTACATATACGCTCTTTCGAAAAACTGGATGATTGATTGGTTTACCGCGTCGACTCTTGTCGCGCGGTGAGTGTTTCCGCGTCCTGTGCAGGAACTATTGCGCACTGATGTTTTCGAACACTGTCTTGTTAGAAATTAGGTTAGTTTCGCCAACTGAACCAAACTGAACGAGTTAAAGAGAGAAAGAGAGCAGATTCATCGTCGAGCAAGCACAGGTGTTTTCGTGTGTATTTCGGGTATTTTACTCGCACGCATGAAATCTTGCGAATTTGCGTCGTTATTTACTATTTCTTTCGATTCTAACGGATTTCACTATTTCCGATATTTATGTGAGGCTGCCTGCGTTGGGCATTCTTCCTCACATTAATCCTGCAGCACCGGGAAGCGGAAATCACGTTTTCACTTTTCTTAAGCAAACTGGTAACTAAGCTCGGATATTATTTCGTTTCCCGATTGGAATCGATCGTCCTACTCTACATGTTACACATGTTGGAGCACTGTGCTCGTCATTATACTTAATACTTATCAGTGTGCTAAAATTGAATCCAAAAATTTACACGCCCAGAGTTGAGAAACGTCTAAATGTTAAAGAGTTGCATTGCCGTGTTCAATATCGATAAACATACTGAAGATAAAATACAGATACTTGGAATTGGATATAGATCTTATTGAGTACAAGAATATAAATAATAATAACTGAAATGATGTAACTCGATATCTCAAAACAACTCAAAAGTTTGTCAATCTTATACATATATTTTTTGTTGAATTTAACAAGTGAATTGCAATAGCAATATAAGGTCTGTTTTCTAAACTATAATGTACACTTTTGGAACTTACAGTGATAGATACATAGATATTAGGCAAAAGCGAGAAAGAGAGTTTTATTGCAGTCTCTAACAGCAGGAATAAAAAACAGACCTATAGATACAAGGAACATAATTAGATTTCATTTAGAACTCAAAGATATTTTCTTGATTACTTTAGACTCCTGAGAGTACTGCAGAGATAATATTACAAACTGGTGAGCAATATGGATGATGCAAATGATAAAGTTGTTCAAGTGAAAGAAGAAGCAGAAATAAAAAAAGAAGATACAAATATTACTGGCAGGATATTTGTGAAGCAATTCCACCAATTACTGGAGGATCCTTTGTTGAAGAGTACTAGTGATGATGTGCAACGTGCGATCAAGGGTCTTCGAGAAATACCGGATGAAGAACTGAATGAGTTCCTCGATGATGAAGACTTTATGAAAGGATTGGATGTCGTGGATGCATGGGAAAGAGATGAAGATAAAAACCGCGAGATTGAGCAAAACAGGACAGAATCTACAAAGCAGGGAAAGAACCAAATCTCTAGGTAGTGTCATTAAATAAATAATAATTAAGTAAATTTTTATGTAATATTATATTGTTATTATACTTTATATTACGAATAAAGCCGTTTTGTGCTCTTTCTGTAAAGAGTGCAATTTCTGTAAAGAAATTCTGCAAAGAATGCAATTTCTGTAAAGAAATTCTGCAAAAAGTGCAATTTCTATAAAGAAATAGTGTCATGATTTTTTTTGGATTGAATTAATTTGTACAAATGTATTATGTTTAATTCTAATTTTAGTTATTTAGTTATAAGTTACAAAACCACGTGGTCAGATAGTTTCCTTATACTCTGCTACGTGTATGTTACGCGTATGATACATGTATACAATCAATTATTTTTAATATGGAAGTTTGCATACTTTAGCAAACAAATGATGGCAAGAGTAATTATAGGGAACATCATCGTCCCGAGAAGGACAAACGCAAAAAGCCGAAGAAAGAAGAGAAAAAACGTGAGGAGACTCGGCGGGATCCTTTGAAGAGCACTAAGGACATCGAAAGGGACAAGATGCGAACGAAGAGAGACACCGAGAACAAGCTTCTTGCTGAAAAGGAGAAAGCGATCAAATACTTGTTGGATTCGGACAATGTAGTCCCACCTGGCACGGAAACTGAAGCCATCCAGAGCATCGCTGAGGAACAACAGAATAGAGAACGAGCTCAGCGTGAAGCCCAACGAAGCAGAGAGCATCGTAGAAGCAAATCGTTAGAACGTTATGAAAGAGCGAGTCCATCTCGGCGGAGAACTCCTGATCGATCTCGGTTGAGTCCTCATCGACGAAAAAGTCCCTTTGTAAGCCCGGATCGTCGTAGGAGCCCTTTTAAAAAAAGCGTAGAAAGACATAGAAGTCCTTACAGATACAGTCCAAGTAGATTGAAAAATTCACCGCGCTCCTACGACCGGAGAAGCCCCAAATTAAGTCCTGATTCTCGACGAAGAAGTCCTAGACGACTTAGTGGAGAACGACGATCCAGTATAGAAAGAAGACGGAGTGCTGAGCGACGTAGGAGACGCGCTGATTGGATGCATGAACGGTGAGGAGACAACATTCTTAACATCTTTGTTAAGAGATATTTAAATTCTTTCCGGTTTAGAAAAGAGATTTGAAAACTTGCTGTCACGTGGTTAAACATTATTTTTTATACTGCGTGTACAGTAAAGTTACAAATAGTATTTTGTGTATAAATATATTGTAATTATGGTTTATTATTATATAATATATTGATTTACGGTAGACATAATTTTTCAGACTTTGCGTAGACATAATTTTTTAGATTTTGCTAATTTTGTATTTATATTATTGTATTGTACAAATATGTATACGATATGAAAATATATTAGATTATATCTTAGTAATTATCTTGATTAAGCCGAAGAAGCCGATCTCGCGATCGGAGGAGTCGCAGTATGGAACGTTCGAGAAGACGATTAAGCCGTTCACCAATGAGCAGACGATACAGTCCTCGTCGTCGAAGTCGCACACGTAGCAGATCATTGGAGAAGCGTCCCAGGAAGCGTTCACCCTTCATCAATGAACTAGCAAGACAACTAGGACATGAAGCAATGTCGACTGCTGTGAACACCAGTGGATACGTACCGTCCGCGACGATGGAAGGAATTGCACCGTTACTCAATCCGTCCACATATCAGCAAGAAGCGGATAGGACATTGCCGCCAACGCAGCCGCCACAACCACAACCATCACTGCCACCACCATCATCATCAGCTATGTTACCACCTATGTCAAGTGGACCGTCATTTATGAACTTTGAACCTATGCCGACTGCACCGTTAATGAATTTCGAACCTATGCCTCCTCCATCTATGACCCCAACCATTGCCCCAACCATGACTCCAACCAGTTATGCATCCGGTCCGGTTATGTACAATCAGCCGAATGCTGCTGCGCCACCGGTGATGTGTTCACCGTTGCTTCCTGTACCCTCGCCGCAACCTGTACCTCCTCCTGTGATGGATCGTGCGCATGCATCGTATAATCCATCGTATACTGCACCCTTTGTCCAACAATCATCGATCCATCAATTTGAAAAGAAATCTGTAAATCATTCAACCACATCCTCCACGTCATCACAGAAGCAGAATTATGCAGAACATGGATCAGCAACATCGTACAAGGAAGTTTACTCTCCACCCCAGCAGGAACGAATGAAGACACCTGAACCACCGATCATCTCCAAACCAAAAGTAATTGCAATATATATAATAGTGACGAATATTTGATTTTAAGTTTGACAAGAAATGTTTATCGGTATGTCAAAGTTAATGAGCATTAATTAATTTTAATTTGTTATGAATTGTATTTATTTCAATCATGTATTTTATATATAGAAAAAAAATTAATTGTTTTTATGACTTCATCTTGCAGCAAAAAACCAGCTTATCCAGTCTATTGGAAGCATCTGTTTCAGCCAAAGGTGCGAATATGTTTTAATTTATTTGATTGCGTAAAAATCGCGTAAAGATATAGAACTGATACAGTTCACTTTTTTTGATTGATTACAAGGTTTCCTATGTATCTTATTTATGAAACGATACTAATTTTTGTTTTTATCACGTCCTTTAGATTCATCTAATATACCAGTACTATATCCAGGTAAGAACTTTCAAATTTTTTAAATTTAATTTAAATTGCTTATTAATTGCGCCATATGAGTTATGTGATTAGATATTAGGAATTAAAGTGTGCTTAAAGACATTTTTCTCTTATGTGATTTACAACGTACGAAGATTGCAAGTAACATGACATAAAACCTATTTTTATAAGCATTATGGTATATATAATTCGAAATTTTATTCTACGCGACTCTGTTTTTTTCTCTACTGATAGGATTCAAGCCTGAAATAATGCGACATTGCGAACAAGCGATATATCAGCTTCCCGTGGAGGATCCGCGTTTAAAGATGAAGGGTAGATTTTTCTATGATCGCAGCGAAGAAAACAATACGAAAGATGTTTCCGACGACCATACATCGAATTCGATACTTTTGCAGAAAAGTAAAACTAAAATATTTTGGAAAGAGACTAATGCGGAACAGCCGATATCGGTTCCGAGAACAACTCAAACGCATCAGAAAATCTGTCAGACAGATGAGGTGGAAACGGAAACTAAAGGCGTGCAAGTATGCATTACCACCATCGACTTTGCATCGCAGGTTTATGCGGACGACCTCCAGCAAATAAAAGAAGAGAGACGGCCGATAATGGATCGTTTAGATTGGAGCGCACGAGATACTTACGAATATGGATCTAAATTTCGCGAAGTAGAGGATCTAAGATGGAGTCTAAGTAACTCTTCGCAGAGACGTACTTGGAACAGGCAATCGTCTCCTTCTAGAAGATCCGACGAACAGGAGCATCATTTAGATCCTATGAATCATGAATCTAGAAGCTCGAGGCTGGATTCTCCTATTAGAAGCAATGAGTTTTCTGCTCAATCTAATATACGTGATCACTATAGTCATGACAGATATTCGCCTAATTATCAAAGACGTTCTATCGAACGTGATGAATTTCATGATAGAAGAAGCAATCATAGCCGTGGAGAAAGTCCGATGGAACTAGAAGAATCTGATAATGAATTAATGACTGGCCATACATTCCAAAGAGGATCTGATTGGCATGGAAGAGGGAAAGTCTCAAGGGGTAAAAGTCATAATTTGCGAGGAAAACATGTAGGAGGAAGATTATATCGAAGTCACGGGAACTATCGGGGCAAGTTTTAAAACTATTCATTATATACACAAAATGTTTTTTGAACAAATAATACGATCTATTTCATTAATATTATGTATATATGTATATGTATATATATATATATATATATATATATA